AGTCACTGAGGCTTGCTATCAGCGTGGAAACAAGAAGACCAGCTGCCAGTTACACCTTTTTTCCACAGTCCTGTTTTGTTCAGGAAAAACACTCCACTAGTGTAACATTCTGGCTACTGCTAAATCCCAGCTCATAATATGTACAGTAATCATGTTCACTGTCTGTATTAAGGTAAGAGTCACCGTATAAGTGACCTCACAGCAGAAGCTGCTTCTGCTTGATATTGATTGGCTGGTCTATCCATAGCCTTTATTTTCTACTCAGATGTTCAGGAGTGAGAGCCTCCAGATCATCAGTGATTCATTCTGCATATTAATATCTATATTATCCCAATCTATGATCTTTCTGTAAGCCCAACCATGTGGGGTTTTTTTTTTTTTTTTGCTGCAATTAAACCTGACCACTTTTTTCAAATATATCTATATTTAATATGTCACATTAGAGGGCATAACACTAGTTAAAAATCCTGTCTCACAACAACAAAGTCCTGGGTTCAAATGCAGTCTGGGGCCTTTCTCTCCTGCTTGTACGGCTTCCTCCCACAGTCCAAACACATGCATGGGTTAGGTTAACTGTGACTCTAGTTGTCTGTCTCTTTGTGTTAGCCCTGTGCATACTGACAACCTCTCCACGGTGTACACTGCCTCTGAGAGCTCCTGTTATACCTAAATTAATAAATGGATGTCATATTATTATTCACAGATTGAAGATATATTAACATGGACACAAAAAATAAATCTTTTTGAACACCTTTGAAGATGAGACGTGGAAACTTAAAAACATTTTTCTACTTCTGTGTACTAAACCTGACATCATCACACCATGAATGGGAGTGAATTATAATAAAAACTTTATCATTCAAATTTCAAAGTGTGCAGGGCCATCCAGTGGGTTGGATTGGACCCTTTGACTGGTTGAACTACAATATCTGTACCAACGTCAAACTACCTGGATTCAGGCTGCCACAATTTGAACATACTGATTAAAAAGACAAATCTATTTAGACATGT